TGTGAGGCTGTGAACAACCTGAGATCCAAAGCATCCCACTTCATTGGCTGTGGTTGCTGGATGGCCTCCAGTGATCAGGGCTCAGCTCAGCAACTCGTGTAACAGGAGATGTCCCATGTCACTGTGGAGCTCCACTCGGCAGTGCTTACCAGCCCTGCTGCCTCAGGACATTCATCAAAAAATGCAGTTGTCTTATCAGGCCCAAAAACCCCCTCAAAGATGCAGATATTTGATGAAGTTTCAGAAATGTAATTGTATTTTTTACTTTTATGCATATATGTGTGTGTATGTATGGATGCTTTGTCAGGAACATGCCCGGTCCACTGGATGCCGGTGGTCCCGGCTCCTTTGCCCAGAACCAGCAGCACCGTCTCCACTCCAGGTAGAAGATCTTTAGACATTGCTGGAGGAGAGTACGGCATTCTGTCTGCCTTTGCTGTTTCTCACAGTGCATAGAAGAGGGGTGAATCTGATTATAGGTGGCCATACATTTTCCAAACAAGTCCTGGATTTTCTGTAAGAACAACTTAGGCTGAGCAGAAAAGGTATCAAATACAGTGGTGGCGACTCACCTCATTAACTGCATCTTGCCGATGGCCTCACACCTTGTGAACTGTTTGGTTTTTTTTTAATTTATCTTTTCGTGGCTGGCCACTTGTTTGTCATGTTGACAGGCAATGGCTTTCTGAGAACACTAGCTACTATTACGGGATCACTGAGGATGAACAGAAAATGGAGAAAATGGCAAGAAATATAAAACTGCTAGTCCGTCTCTAAACCAGATAGCTAGATAAATGGTCATTGTGAATCTGCTTGAGCATAAAAATACAACTATGCTGTTAGCATTAAGCAGCTTGATCTACTTCAGCTTCAAATAAGAGCCTAAAGCAAGAAGATATATTTCATTATAGGTGAGGAGGAACTAGATGATCACAGATGATCTATTAGATGATCACTGTTGATGATCCTTGAACTGAGCAAACTGACTCAGAAGAAATGTAGATGTATGGAGATGAGCATAGAGGAGATGGGAGCCATTCCTCTACCTGGATCCAGCAACGTTTTCTGTTATGAAAGCAAGCCCAACTATTTGTTTTCAGATCTCAAATGCCTTGTTAGTGTTTAGTGGAAACAAGTCAGGGTCAAGGGTTTCCCTTGGGTGTCCTCTGAAAAGAGCTTGTGAAATGTGGAATTTGAAAATCAGCCAGAAAAGATCTTTTGGGGGAGGTGAGTTACATGAGGATTGTTTGTCAGGCTTAACCTACAGGAGAGGTTAAGTTGAAGTTTTCTGGAAAACTTACAGATGAAGGAATCTGTGTCTTGGTCTGACAGAGTAGAGTCTTCTAAAAGATTCACTCAAGTTTTCACCATGTCTTATGAGGGTAAATCTGAATTTTCTCATTTGAGGGCGGGCATAGTGTTTCTAGGTGGACAAAAGTAGGTTGTAGTGATTGAAACAGCCGCAAACAGAGGCAGAGCCAATGTGTGAGGACAACCCTAAAATTCCAAGGTGGTGTGGGAGATGGTAGTAAAGAGTTTTCATTATGATTGAATATTAATTAGTGACATGGCTATTAATGATGACAGTAATTAACAGAGGAAGGAAAGACTTGTCATTGTCCCGAGGGTGAGTAATCAGTCTTGGCAGGTGATAAATAATGGTTCAGCAAACTCAGCAGAAAGATAATCTGTCTGCCTCAGGACAACTGGAGAACAGCTATAAAATCTTCCAGGCTCTTGGCAGCATTCAGGAATGACTTCATGTTTTTAACAGAGACAAATTAAAATCCCTGATCTCAAGTGCTGCTTATATTTCGGAGTTGCTGATCAAAGGACTTCTGGTTGAGTCAGTGCCTTCAGTTTACTTGCCCCTTTAAACCTTTCTTTTTAAATCTTAATAACGTGGAGAAGAAAGATTGGTGAACCAGCTTTTAGTGTTACTTGAATGTTTCATTGCAGTTTGATGAAAATTGTATAGATTCCTCAAAAGAGGCATAGAGGTGGGGACGTGATCATTCAATGTGAAAAATGGAGTGGGACTTAATCCTGCAGTAAGTATTCCTGCATATCTGGAAAGGGACCATGCAGAATGCACTTCACCTCCCTTGGGCAAAGCAATGCACTGCTCTAGATGATTTTCAGATATTAGCTGTCATGTCACTTGGCAATAAGATCCTGCAAGCCTGTAATCTGAGGCCAAAATCAGGAGAAACAGTGGACTTTTTAGTTTGAGGGATGAGCAGAAGAACCAAGAAAGATTCTGGTTTAGGTTGAATCAAGACAGCATTTGGTGAGGTTTTGGTTTGTTTCTAACCATACAGAAGCACTTCAGTTTTGAGTCTTGAAATGGTTTTCTATCCCCAAATGTTTTGTCTGTCTTTAGGACATTTTTGTTTTGTAAAAGGCGAAAGGGAATATCCATGTTTATAAACTGTAATATTTTTATTAACAAACTCATCAAAACAAGAGTTACTGTCTCTGAAGGTTTTCCCCATATGTGATTCAGCTAGCACTGTTTACTAGATGTCTTCTAGCAGGTAGTTTTGGACCCCTCAGACATTTTTTGTGAATTAATTTAGAATTCACCAAAAAAAAAAAAATGGTGTGACTTTAGGATGCACCTGCCAAGCTGCTTTCAGTAGAGACGGGAGCTTGCTGGTGCCATCGCCAGAGCCATTGATTAGATGTTGTGCAAGGTACTGCCTGCGTTTCTGGTGACCCCAGTGCAAAGAAATGGAATTTAAATTTGATAAGTTGCTGAACAGTAAAGTAGAGGAAGAGACCATGTTAAGAGGACATTAAAAGTGTTTGGTTAGTTTAGTGAAATGGAGGTAGGGAGGCAATGTGTCAGCCCCCTGTAGAAATGCTCAGGAGAAACTATCAAGGAAGAGCAATTCTTTCTGTTAAATGATGATACAGGTATGGTGTCAAATGGATATGAATTGTGTATTAATGAACTTAGGCTGGAAAGCTACAAGAAGAGCTGCATCTATTAAAAAAAAAAAGGGGGGGGGAGGTTCTGGAATAACTTTCAAATAGGATAGTGGCAACTTAAATTGCTCCGAGGTGGAGCTGGGGGGTATGGAAAGTGATTGTAGAGCTGAGAATACAGGCTTGTGAGATTGGTCCTGTAGTGTCTGGTTTGTTGATACTTTCAAGGCAGATTGAGACAATGCCCGGCTGCTGCTGGTTCATCACATCTGTTTGCCTGGTATTTAAGCAAAAGCAGATGCTTCCCTGATCTTCAGGAGCTCTGCTGATTGCCAGCAGCGGACAGGTAAGTTGTTTTGCTTGCCTTGGGTGGGATAAGAGGGAGGTCAGGTAAACCCACTCTGAAGTGGGTTTACTGGTGCTCCTCATGGAGTCGTGGGTCAGTTTGCATTGTCAGGGGGAGCAGAAGCTGCCATCCTCTCTTGCATGGGGGAGAGCCCATGTTTCTAGTGGGAATTTCACCTGTATGGGAGAGTCTCTGAGACCTGAAGATATTGCAGGGGCCTGGGACACTAGCAGTGCCTGTTGTCTCTCTCTGTCACACATCATATTTGTGACTCCTGGCCTTCGCTGTAGTTAAAGTTTGCTGAGGGTGTGGGGATGCTCTGGGACTGTGGGAAGCAAAATGTTCTTCAGACCTTCTCTGGAAAAGGCATCGTGTGGGTTATGCTGTTTCTTGAAGTACCCACCACATCTGAACTCAGAAGCGCTCTGTGCAAATGGGATCCTCTGGGGTCTGTTGAGGAAGCACGAACCCTACGGTTGATCCATTCCTTTTTGTATGTTATCTTCAGCTGGTATATCACAAAGCGTAGCACTAAGTTTTACTGGGGCTGTTAGCCTACTGGATGTGAATGCAAACGTTTCTCAGCAAATTGACTGTTGGTATTACATCTGCATCCAGACATGGCATCGTTAGGTTGTGCTGCAAGTGGCTGTAACTTGGCATGGACTTGCCTCCAAGTGCTTTTGCCGATTGTCTTTGACTTTGTACAAGTCATGTTAGCTGACTTTTACACAGCATTATATTTCATTTTAAGCTTAACTTTCTGAGTATGAGGTATAACTAAATTTTGCTGCCCTGTCTTGTTATATTTTGATAAAAGGCCTCAGCCTCTACTGAACAGTGACAAGTTTTCTGCTTCTGTGATTTCCACATGAGCAACAAAGAGGTTGTATACATGCAGAGGATCAATCCTAGAGATCTTTATGCTGTGTATAAGACAGTAACAACCTTTGTACTACTTGAGAGGTCCTGAAAACTAGAACACTACCTGATGGATGTTAAAAACTCCCTTCTCTGCTGCTGGCCACCATACTGCTGGTGCCATCACTAGCAGGTGACAGCTCAACAGATTCACCGTTACAGGCACACAGAATCATAGAATAATTTGGGTTGGAAGGGTCCTCTGAAGGTCATCTAGTCCAACTCCCCTGCAATGAGCAGGGACATCTTCAGCTAGATCAGGTTGCTTGGAGCCCCGTCCAACCTGACCTGGTTGTCGAATCCCACTTTCTTGTCCAAGACATTGTCTTTGACATAAGCAAGATTTACCTGGGGTTTTTTGACTGGTAACTCAGTTCTGTACTTCTAGATTATTGCCTCTGACATTACAGGTACAAAATGCCAGTAAATGGTCCTTCGTCTCTTTGCTAGCTAGTGCTTGCAGAAATGTAACTCCCTGTCTGCAGAGGTGAGACATGCAACTGGGAGAGAACAAGTTACTTGGAACCATTAGAGTAATATTTAACTTAAAGTATATCAAGTCTCCTATCACAATGAGCACTTCTTAGGACTTAGTACCTGGCAATAACTATATAATTTTAGCCTGGCACAGGAAAGAAAAACATTTTGAAACCTCAGTGGAGATAAAAATGGAAATGGAGTAAAATTAATGTCAGTTCTATTTTATCTATCTCAATGTTATCTCTTTCTCAGAAGCCTTGTAGGCTCAGTGTTTACTGCTTTCTTCACCTTTTTTTTGTTGTTGTTGTTCTTTTGGGTTTTTTTTGCAGGTGCTGATATTGTGCAGTGGCTTATGAAGAACCTCAGCATTGAGGATCCAGGTAAGGTGACCACAGCTGGGGAGGAACACGCACTTGATCTGTATTCTCTGTGCCGTTAGACAGTAGATACTGTCTTGCTGCAGTCTAAAATACCAGGTTGATTTAAGCATGTGGCAGGAAGATCTTAGTTAAGGCTAATACATTACACTGCAACACACAGAAAGCACTTTGCAGGAGTCTTAGCCTGTCTGTGAAATTGTTGCTACCTAAGAAAGACTGATTGATTTTAACGTTGTTCCCAGCCTTAGAAAGGAAGCTGGTGGATGTGTATGGTTAAGCAGGCAAATGCAGTGATAGGTTTTCATGGTGTGGAGAAAGGTAGCTGTGACTGACTGGACATACTGGCCAAAAATGGCACAGACACCATCATGGGATCAGATGATGGCTGCTAACTTATCACAGCAGATGGATAAATGCATCAGCCATAAACAGTGACCAGTGCATGGACACAGTTCAAATAGACCAAAATCATGGCACAGGTAAGAGCTATTGGGAAAAGAGAAAAAAAAATTCTGCAGGTTGAGAAGTTTCTTTTCCTTTTCTGGAAAGGGGAAAAAATTCAGCATCACCTCCCAGTTTGTTTTTGCTGCCTACTGTCACCATGTAAAAGCAGAGACGGAGGCAGTGTTCTCTTATCCAGGACATTCCTTCTCATGAGTCCAGTCAAGTCCCAAATCTGAATTTCAGCTGCAGACAATAGTTTTATTATCCGCCTGGGGGTGCATGAGCACCTGATGTGTATTTTGGGACTCTAAGAAAGTTGACGCAGCTTTTGACAGCTGACATGGGTTGAAAAAAATCTGTGCAGATGTACCTCTGAAATCTGTGCAGACGTACCTCTGCGCTGGTGAGGGTTGCCCTGGCAGCGCTAGGATACGTACTGCCCTTGCCTCTGTGCTGTTTCTGATAACAAATGGCAGTGCTACGGTGTCAGGATTGGTCTTTATGAGTAAACATGCTGCTAATGGCCTGGTATTGCAGGTGTTTGTTGGATTTGGTAGAGGCAAGGGGGATTCACTGATGGAGCAGGCTGCTTGTCAGCTGTCACCTGTGGTGGGTAACGTGCTTCAAATTGAATTTCAGACTCCAGTGCTGAACTGGTGTGTGACATTTTTTAAACATAAAACCAGCAGGTTAAACATTTGAGCAGTGTTTCATCCGTATTGTAAGGCTGATTTCTGCTCTCCTGCTTTGCAGGGTTAGGTTGGAAGGTGTAAGGATGCGGCGTGGGTACAGAGAGCAACCAGGTCTCAGTGCGAGTTGTCACCAGAACTACTGCTGAAAGCTGAGGAGTGTGCAGTGCACCGCTTCCTGACACATCCCTGCTGTTTTCTCTCTTTCACAGGGGAAGCAATACACTTGGGAAGTCTTATCGCTGCACAGGGTTATGTCTTTCCAATCTCAGATCATGTCCTTACCCTGAAAGATGATGGGACGTTCTATCGTTTTCAGGTTGGTGAGCCCTCTGCCTTCTTTGTGGCCAGTTCTGCTGTCCCTGCAGTAACACTGCTGAAATCACCCACTCTTTGTGCCTAAGCACCAGTTAGGTGAAGCCAGGGATTGAGGCTGTCTCGGTAGAGGCCTTAGGAAGTTATGAAGTCCCTTCAAAAAGATCTACTTTAGAATCCCAAATCCTTCTTCTGCTTTCTGACCCACAGTTTTTACATAAATGAAAGGATATGTCCTGTGGTTATTTTTGATAGGTGATTTCAAGGCTTTTGTACTCAGATTTGAACTAAACCAGGAGAACGAAAATGTGACTTCTAGGTTCTAACCCTGTCACAGAGTTGGGTAGCCACCCTCCTGTGCAAAATGGACCAGCGAAAACTTTGCAGCTGGACATTCAAGCTCTGGCACAGCAGAAAATTAAAATTTTTATCTTGTCTTGGTTACAGCCTGGTGTGGGAGGTGTCAAGCTCCAGGCTTTGGCTCTTTTACAAAGGATGTGTGACCTTGGCAGTCACCTACGCTGGGACTTCTCTGTCTCTCAGTGTCCCTGTGCCTCCACCAGATGTGTCAGATTTTTAAAATATCCTGCGCTTGAGTTCCATGCCCTTTGTAAAATCTGCTGCTGTCACCTTCCTAGATAACTGAGCGCTTGTGCTGCAGCAACTCCTTTTGGACAGATTGTATAACTTGAAAAGAAGCCATAAGTTCAGGCCCGGAGTCCCACTGCCCAATCCTGCTGGGTGAATTTGTGTTTTTCTGTTAAGTGATCCCAGACAACTCCCTTATCTTTCCTGTGACCTCTCTTCTCACCCCCCTATTCCTCCTTTTACTTTTTTCCCCCCTCTTTTTTAGCTTTTACTTGAAAAGCCTGTTCTCCTCTGTGCATCTGATGTTGCTGCTGCTCGTGCTCGCTGTCCTACTGCTAGCGTGGTATTGTGGTGGTGTACAAAACCAATGCCACGGTGAGCAGAGTAGCCCAGGAGGTCACAGACCTCCCCTTATCTCACCCCACCTTCTGCCTACCTGCCATCATTCAGACTAAGATTTTTCGTGACAGTTCCTTTTTTGCTTTGCTGAAAGTCCTGCTCCTCCTGTCATGCAAGGCTTGACAGAAGCAGATGTAGTACTGATTGCCCATTTAGTTGTATTTTTCTCTATTCTAAAGAATTACACCATAAGAAGTTATCTTGTGCAGCTGTCAGGAGCTACATTCCAATATAATTTAATTTCCTTTCCTTATTTTAAGCCTGTGTAAACAACGTAATCAAATTCTCTTGACTGTTTATTGACTTTTATTTTTTTACTCTTATCTTTTCCTACAACTTTTGCTTATTATTTGCCCAATATAATTTTCTGCAACAGTTCTCTTTGGCCGTTTTCTGCAAAAATAACTCGATAGGATAGTTTTTCTTTTCCATGACTTTCTTCTTGCCACTTTCTACTTCAACATCAGTCCCTCCTTTAACAGCTCATGATGTTGTGAAGTTCATAAGATATATATGTGAGGAGCACTGAACGGTGTATTATTTGGTCCCTCCGTGTTTTTTCGCTGTACTTTGGTGCAAGGAATCGTCTTTGTGTGTGTGTGATGTCCTACGCCCATTTGTGGCATTACATCAGTAATGCAAAACAGTGCGCTGTAATTTGTGTGATCACAGGGACATTCATTTTCATTAATGTTAAAACTGAAATACAGGCACATGTAGTAGTATCTTGGAATTAATTGTAGCAACTGCAACATGCAGACCTGGGTAGAAAACAAAAGCAGTAAACTTAGCAGAACTGCTTTCAGAATGACTCTAATCAGCTGAGTTTTGACCTCTGACATCTGTTATATTTAAAAAGTAAATTGTTTTGTAGGCTGCCAACCACACTGGTAGCTGCTACCAAAAATAAAACCCCCAGTGGTGTGTAGCATATATAAAAGGCCAGGAGGTTTCTCATGCTCCTGAAAAAAACCAAAAATATCCAGGGTGCCTGTGAATTCCTGGGGAAAGAGGAGGTTCTGGGGATAGAGGGTAAGAGGTCCACATTCAGATGATCTGGCAACAGTATCTAAAACGTCATCAGGATACTGGACATCCTCCTCAAGAGGTGCTTGTGTTCCTGCAGATAGGAATGTTAAAGGTGATACCTTCTGCAAAAGCATCCTCACGTACACTGAGATCTGTAGCAGTGTTTCCCCTGAGGGCAGGGACTGGGCCTGAGGCTTTGTGATTCTTCTTTTTGTATTTGTAATGTTTTTCTGCATCTGAATTGTTTTTCATCTCATAAATTACAAAAATGCATATGTTGTTTCTTAGGCACCGTACTTTTGGCCTTCAAACTGCTGGGAACCAGAAAACACAGATTATGGTGAGAGTGTAATTATTTCATTGTAGAAAGTTAGTACAGAACATTTGTGATGGAAAATGTTGTCCTTAAAATAATTAGTTGGCCATCTGAACCCTTCGGCAGCAGAGTTTCTCGTCAGGCTGCAGGATCAGAGGCAGAGATGTGCCTGTCTCAGATCCATGAAGTGAAATCCCAGGGTCTCTCGAGCCCATGGAGCTGTAGCCATCCAGTTCAGTGGGGCCAGGGTTTTACCTACCATTACTTTTGTTCTCCCATAGCTCTGTTTGTTTCAGCAGGATTTATGGCAAGCAGAATACTGCTCCTTGGGAATCTTAAATAACGCCAGTATTGCTTTTGTGGAGGAACATGCTCTGATCTGTAGCTGAATCTGATATGTTGATCAATAAAAAGTTACCTCATCTGGTCACTTATCTGGCTGATCAATAAACCAGTATATAACTGGTGGCAGCCCATAGTTAAAGTTCTCTGATATATGACATCAGACTTATTTTTCCCATTTTTTTCAAGATTACCAGCTGATAGCTGGTAAAAAAAGAGAAGACTGAGCATGGTTTATGAGTTAATAAACTGCAACATGGTGTGTTAAACGTGTGAGTGCCTGCGGAGAGTGATGATACATAAAGAAAATATGTCAGTGTTGTTATCTTTAGTTGTCTGCATGCAATATTGCTATCTCTTCCAGAACTGCCCTTCTTTCACAGTTACATGATAAAATCAATTGTTGCATCCTGGTGTGGCATTAGAAGAGGAAGTGAATCCAAGTGTGCACTCGTAAGAGCTTCTGGAAGTCCTCCTTTTGAAATAGCTGATAATCTAAGATCAATTTAGAACTCCTCCCTGAATAATCAGGGTTGGTTTTTTTCTTACCCAGGCAATAATTACTCATCATTATGGATTCTGGAAATCATTTGCTGGGCTGGAGAAGTAGCCTGCAATGGTGTCTGTCATGTAATAGTTCATTTGCAGTCCTCATCTGCAGGGAAGCTAGCACCGAGTTATATGTTTATCCCAGGGAGGGAACTGCTTAGGAGAAAACATGATGCTGTTCATTATATGTAAAATAATTTCCAGATTTTACAAATCACCATACATAACTGTCTGAACTGTGCCAAATATGTATTCTGTAAATATCAGAATAACAATACGAAGAGGGAAGTTCTGGTTTTTTCCTATAGTATCTGATAATATACTGGTTTCTTAGATTATTATGCTGCAAGGGTATTGAGTGGAACAGTACACCTCAAAATAAAGCCCTATATGAGCTGACCCACAGCTGGACAAGCTGCAGCTGCATTAGTTCTAAGCCCCATAGTGACAGATTTTCATCTGTCCCAGAAATCTCGAACATATGCTTATAATCAGTCTTTGCATATCAGAGGTCTGTACAGATGGAGTCTGCCCAGGAATTAATCCCAAACTAGCAGTAGACCCAAATAAAACTGAAATCCCAGCAGCACTTCATACTTTTTTATTTGCATGGATCCACTCACAGGACAGGAACTAACTTGCTAATGGCAGGTCACTGCCTAGCATGAAGAAATACTGTGAGATGACTGACTCTCACTTTATTTGGTGTTGTAAATGGCTTACAGATGAAACTGCCCTTGAGATGTATAAATATACATGAACTGATCGGCTCTGGTTACCATCTGTAATATTGGCTCATTATATGAATGTTAGAATTATAGGAATAGCATAGAATAGAATTACAAGAGTAGTACTGGCTTAGTTTTTTTGTTTGTTTTTTTCCCAAATATTTTCAGTAGAATAGGTTTCCAATGAAAAACATTCACAAAGTTGCCATAAAATTGTATTTACCAGCAAACCAAAACCCCATGATTTTCAAAGAAAAGCTGAAATTTTCTGGAGAAGTTGTATTGCAGTTTTTCTATAGATGATGCTTTGCCTTCTGCCCTGCTCCGGTTTGGTGCACTGTTGGACAATAAGTACCTGGCCCTGCAGCATGAGAGGTCAGGACACAAAGAAGCTGTAAAATTCACATCTAGATTCATCTCAAAATGAGAGCACAGGACCTCTATTCTGTAGTTCAGACCTGACTGTATATACCCAGGGTGTGCTGGGGACCTTGTGTTTCAGCCTGTGATGGAAATGGGGTGAGCGAGTGGGTCTGGCTGAGCCTTTCCCAGAAGGCAGCCTGGGACTGGTGTGGTGGTGTGCACAGGGCTCATCTTGACCCTCGGAATCCCAAACCACATCTGTCTCTGCAGTGTCTACCTATGGTGAAGTGAGAGAAGGCTTTTCCTAACCATGTGAAATCTGTAGAATAAGTGGATGGAGCATATGCAAAACTGTTCAGATCATGCCTTTAAGATCTGTCCCATAGTTCTGTTTTCATTTCAATATCCTGATTTTTTTTTTTTTTTTTTTTAACAGAGGGGAAAAGAAGTGCAGGGCTGCTCACTTTGGCAGGTATATTCCCAAAGTGCTGAGGGGAACAGGTTGTCAATGCTAAATCTTTTACCAGCCCCAGAAGCAATTGAGCCTTTCTCAGACATCTTGTTAGGTCCTGGCATCTACTCTCAGCACTTTTAAATGAGATGTCCCAGATGTTTAAGGCCTCTGAGATTACTAGCGGGTAATGTCAGCTGGGTATTCAGCTGTCATTCCTTGGCTCATGTTGCTTTCTGATGAGAACAAACAGTGCACGGACTACTTTTTTTTTTTTTTTTTTTTTTTTAGATCTAGTACTAATAATCTGTCTGTAATTGTTTTCCATTCTGTTTCTCCCTTCAGCCATCTATCTTTGCAAACGGACCATGCAGAACAAAGCTAGGCTGGAGCTGGCGGATTATGAAGCCGTAGGTACACTGCTGCGAGAGTTTAAAGCTGGAGGGGTGTGGGGAGAGCTTTGCTTGCCAATTTAATGCTGCCATTTTCTACTTTGCCTTTCCTGTGTCTTTTTTTGGTTGTCAGAATTGTGTGAAGGTTGGTCTCGAGACAACATCAGGAACATGACTGGGGAATGTCCCTGGCTTTGCAAGGTCTCAGATTAAAGCATCTGCTATATAGCCAGCCTTCCAAGAGTGGGGCAAATTACACAGAAGTTTGTCTTGGTTTCCTGTTTCCAGTTAACAGTCCTTGGTTTGTATAGCAGATATTAACACATGGAAATGATGGATTTTCAGGTGCATTTATTGGGCAATTAGATTGCTGATGACCCACCTAGTTACAAAAGTTTTCAGATATTAGACTTGGAGTGTTTTCAATATGCCAAGAACTCAAGCTTATTCAGGGCGTGTTTTCTGTTATGAAATGATTATCCATAAAAATATCCCCAACCTTGGCTTGAGATTGTGCAGGGTTTGGGTGGAGAGGAGTGGGAAGATGGGAGGCAGGAGGGGCAGGGCTGGTGTGAGTTTCTTTGAACACCAACAGCTCTGACCAGCTGAACTTTTTCTTTCTGTCTTATTGACTTTTTTGTTGTTGTTTTCTAGCTCAACAGTGTAACAGCTGAATTTCAAATGTGGAGTTTTTCATTGGAGAGTTTGTCTAGAAAGCTGGTTCTAGTGGACTTCTGTGTTATTTTTTATTACAATGAAAATATTTATATTGCATGTATTTTAGGTTTTGGGTTTTTTCCAAGAATGGACTTTTTCGTTCTTCTGCATTTTGGGACTTTTGTGCACATGGATATATACACATGCCATTTGGTCCTTTCAGTGAAGAGCATGCAAAAATTGCCACTTATCTAGTCCACCCTAGAAATGCATCCGGAGTTCCCAAGAGTTCTAATCTTGAAGGCGTGAAGAAAGGAGTATAGTAACCTGCATGCACTTACACATCCTTTTGCTGAGTTTTCTCTTCTGCATATTGCTGATTTCATTATTAAAACCATTAAAATTGCTCACAGCCAACCAATTAACTGTAAGTACCCTAAAGATCTATCATAAAGCAACAAAAGGCTGTTCAGCAGCATGCACACTCCCACACACATGCAGCAAAGCTATGGCTAAGTATTTTTGCACATCGTTGTCTACTGAGAGTAGCAATGCTCCAGCGATGGCAAATAATTAGATCTTGGCAGTCTCTCATTTTTCTTGTGAATATTGCATTGCACAATTAGAGATTACTTCTGCATTCAAACTTTGCTCTCTTAATTAGAGACAATCAGATAAGAATGGCACCGACTCTTCCTAGTCATTATAGGAGCTGAAGCAGATCCAGCAATGGAGATGGAAGCTAAGTGCAAGTGAGGGAAACAGGCTTACAGGAGTGGGAAGGAGCCCTGTATATTTAGTACATGTTTTTGACATGTAGCGTGAGAATGCTTCTCCGTAGGCATCAGCACTGACCTGGAGTTTCCGAAGAGAATCTCTACAAAGCATCTCAGGGGACATCTTATTTTTAGGTTCTCCTTGTCTTCATAGACAACCCCCCCCCACCCTCCATTTATATTGGTAGAGCAGGGGTCTTGATAATATGATTAAACTTGCATAATTGCATTCAGTTTTGTTTACAGTTGGCCAAACATAAGCACAATTCAAATATTGCTTCAGTTGGTGATGTTTCATTGACTTCAGCATGTTTACTCCAGAGGGCACATGTGAACATAATTTAAAACAAAATTTAAAAAAAAGAAAAAAGAAAAAAAGAAAAAAATTGGTTTTGCAGATAATTACAAGTAGTTCTTCCTTGTAGCCACAGTTAAGGAAATCATCACAGTTCAGCACAGCTGTAAATCATTTGCTTAACTGTCTTCCTCTGTGTATATGGACTGAAACTCTTACACGGGCTTGGTGGCAGCAGGGCCAAGCTTTATGCCTTGTGTTATACAAGAGTTTAAATAACAGGAAGATTTCTTCTAGCATTGAAATGCAGGCACTTAAGCACTTGAAATAAAGGGAACAGGTATAAAAAGAACAGCAGGAAAACTAATAGTGTTCATTTTCAATTAAAATTTGTAACAGCTGAACCAGCTGTAATGGAGAAGAGCATCAAGTTAACGGTCTTGTAGGCCTCCTCGTCACAGTGGGTGTGGATATATGGCCTTGGGGTGCCATTTGTGACTGAAATTCTGGCCGTGTCACAAGCTTGACCTTGAGCTGTGATGGAGTCGCATCCACCTCCAAATGTTCAGATCACGACACTCTGTGACAGGTCTGGACTAGAACTCTTACTTGAGCTGTAGAGCAAGGCTGCATCTGGACCCAGTCTTCGCAGCTGGCGACGTTCATTGTTCAGACAAACAAGCTATTTCCTTTTATGAGTCACCCTGGCAATCCCCAGCCCTCAGCGCTGTGCAGCTGTGTAATGCTCTCAGCGGTGACCAGGGCTGAGCAAAGCAGGGGATGCTCGGGCTTTGCACCTTAGCAAAAGCCTGGAGAGAGCAGCAGAGGGAAAGTGGGAATGAGAAGGAAAGGTGCAGGTGGCAGCCATCTGCTATCAGAAATGAAACTGTCAGCTTCACAAAGCTTCCCAGTGTTATCTTTTGGGAGCAAGTCCGTCATTATTTTTATAGTAGAGCTCAGGCTGTCTTCATCGCACTCCATTACTTCTCCCTGACAGAGCCCTCCTGGCGGCAGCTATGCGGCTGCAGCCCAAGAGGATGTGTTACAGCCTTGCTTTGCCTGCAAGATAGTTCACCTGAAACCAACACTGGCTTCTGGGTCTTGGGTTTTCCAGCTTAAAAAAAAAAAAATTGAATAAAATAAACACCCACCATCTTGGGTTTTCCAGCTTAAAAAAAAAAAAGTGGAATAAAATAAACACCTGCCGTGCTAACTGTGCTCTTAAGCATTTGTTACAATTACAGGTATTAATTGTTCTTACTATTTTCATCTTTTGTCAGGAAAACTTAGCAAGACTTCAGAGAGCATTTGCAAGAAAGTGGGAGTTCATCTTCATGCAAGCTGAGGCTCAAGTGAAGTGAGTAATCCTGGAGCACCGAGCTGCACCAGTTTTTAGAGCTGAGAAGGGAAGGGGATTCTGTACAGATAAAATTTCTCTGTCAAAGTGTTTACTGTAACTAAGCTCAGAAGGTGTTGGTGATTTCTAATCACCAGCAGACTAGAAACAATAGAGAGCCAGTTCTGAAGGTTTGTGCCAGAATCTGAAAGATGGGTTTAATTATCTGTACATGGAAATGTTGGCCAGGAGCTCCTGAGCCTGGATTCACCACGGGAGCTTGGGCAATTCATTTGCCCGTTCTGCTTCTATTTTCGTGTAGTATTTTTGTCTTGTATGAGTGGAAAGAGCAGAACTTTGTCATCTGCATTACTCTATGCTTGCAAAGTATTTTTGAGTTTAAAAATACTGACACTTCGAAGTGATTGTAAGAGTGGTATTTACAGCAGACTGGGTTTGGTTTTATCAGTCATACCAGTCCCCAGCTGACGCCATTGTACCTCCACTCTTTGCAGTCCGACTTGCGCTACCAAATTAGTGTGGAGAATGTAGTACCACTTACATGAACCTTACTCAGACTTAGTATTTGGATTTTTCCTATCCTCTGTTCGTAATTGAAAACTACCTTTTTTTTTTCCCTCATCTCCCTTGTTTGAAGCCTCTCAACGTTTTGAGCATGTTTTCATTATTGCTGCAGAATGGGTATGATCCAGGGTTTGTAGACTAGTGTCTAGAAACTAGTGCTGAAAACCCTCCATATCTGTTTTGTGCGTGTAGTTGTCAGCTATAAAACATAAAGGTTAGTGAAGATGGTGCATGAGAACACCAGCACTGACACTCTGTACCACTAGAAGGAATTGGCAGTTTCAGCATTAGATGCTAAAAAGTTAAGGAGCATCATTTCTTGAGGGTGTGGCTGAGGTATGTGTCTCTATCTTTGATTAACCCTTTGGAATTTTGATTAATTCTTTGCTTAATAACTTTGTAATTATGCAGTATTTAAGTACCTGGTAATTATCCTTTAAATTACAAGGTAATTAAGGGATTTTTTCCAACCAGAATACCGGTGTTCTGTTTGGAAGAGAAAACTGGAAGTTAAGATAGCAATTGTACTTCTGGTTACTTAAAGATTTATGCAAAGATGAAAAAAAAAACAAAACTAAGTCAAAACAAAATTCTGCATTCTGTCTACAACATACAATTGTTGCTTAAGAAAGAAATGTAAATATCAGATTCTTTATGTGATTACTGTTGCCTATTCATCTTTTCTCCATTCTGTTTTCTTTGAAACGTAAGTGTGGACTGGCCACTGTCAATCTTTTTTTCCTGGCTAGTTTCAGCTTCTTAGTTCCCAGTTCATGTGATGGTTCAGTCTCCAGGTTTTCAACAAGGCAGGGCTGGAATTCACAGTGTAGCTCACAGCTCTGACTTAACTAAAAAGGAAAACAAACCAAAAATGTCTGAAAACATTCCTCCTGCTTATCAAGTTCTGCTCCACCTTCCACATCTTTGCACACAGGATTTCCATTGCTATTCCTACACTGCTCAAAAACTGAAGCCCTAGAGCATCTATCTATGTTGTGTCTTCATAGTTTAAAATGTGAAGTGCTGAGTTATCAGGAAGTTTGGGGATATGAGCCAAGAACATGGGTTGAGCACGAAGTACCTGTGAAGACAATTCATGAAGCCTCCGAAGAGTCCCTCCAGTTTGTGTGCACTGTGTGATGTGAGCTTGGCAGAAGACTTCACCTTCCCCTTTGGTCGGGCACGAAGAATTTGCTCAGAAAAAGTAGTTCTGGGCTGGGTGCCTGCGCTTGCTCCTCAGCGCAGTATGGCAACTGCTGTTTGGCAGCTGCTCTGTCTTTATGTGCGGACAGAGCTGGTTTCTTATCTCAGCCTTGCAGGAGCGATATTCAGAGAGTGCTACTGAACTGTGGAGGATTGGGCGTTTTGTGGGGAGGGATGTTCAGAAACTTCTGTTTCAGTCCCCAGAATCCTGTCCCCTTGGTACACGTCTAGCGCAGACTCAGTTGAGGATCACTGCCTCTCCAAAAGGAAAGAGAAGGGAGATAACCTGGTGGTCAGAAATCCCAGCTGGCTTGGGTTTTTTTTCCTCACTGCTTCGTTTTTCCTGGGCGGCAGCAGTGTGGGAACCCAGCACAGGGGCACCGTCAGCTTTTCAGTCCTGTTTTGGGGGTGGAGGCAGTTCCTCCTTCCCTGTGCCTCATCCCGTCTTGTAAGCCAGTGGTGACTTTGCTGTGCTCACTGTGTAGAGCTGAGCACAGGAGCGAGGCACCAGATGTGGATTGCTTGGTGCTGCCAAGAGATAGGAGAAGAGTTGCTTTGAACAACCTCTGGTGGCCTTTGATGTGCGTGCTTTGAGTGAGTCAATTCACTGGCTACATCAAGGCTGAAATGACTGAGCTACTGCCGTGCCAGCCCAGCCGTGTGTCCCCCGGGTGAGCGCTGGCTTTCACCAAGCTCAGCTCCCGTCGCCTGTGCTGTCACCACTTGCTCTGCCAGCACCAGGGCTTGTGGGCAGAGCTGGTCGTAGGGTTGAAAGCTCTAAGGAGGTACAGCCAGATGGAAAATCTCTTTTGACACTTATTGGAGTAAACATCAGTGATCTTTTGTTCATGGCACATGGCCTTGCAAGTTGGGAGTGTGATGTTGCTGTACGAAAAAGTAGATTTCTGAAATGTTTGTCATGGGGTTAAAAACTCCAGCTGGGAACTGTAACAAAGAAGAAGGCATTACTTGTACATTGACTCATATGTTTATGCTTTCGTTTTCAGAATCGACAGGAAAAAGGATAAAACAGAAAGAAAGATTTTGGACAGCCAGGAAAGAGCATTCTGGGATGTGCACAGGCCTGTGGTAAAGCTCTTTTTGAATGATGTGGCTTTCCAGGTTTAGAAAGGAAAGTTTTAATATTAGTAACCACTGTGCCATGCACAGAGAAATTGCCTTTAAAGTCACCATGTGGATTTTCCTCACAGTTCAAAACATGCCAAGTGTCTACAAGATTACTGTAGGCATTCTAGGCTTGTGCATACATGGAACTGTTGATTTGGAAATATATGATAAATGTGAAGTTTTGAAGATTATTTATTGTGCATACGAAAGAAAAGCAGCTTACCCAGTTTGGCTCAGAGTTCCTAGAAAAAGCTCCCCTTTTAGCTGAGATACTTCCTTTCGGTGCCAAAGTTCTGAGTAAATGGATTGGATTCTGAGATGCCAACTTTGGGTATATGCAGTCTCTTGTTTAGCAAAGATAATTGATGGGACACAAACTTCAGGAAAGAATTTTGGACAAGATCTAATTGTATATTACAGAAAAGCAAGGTAGCGTGAAGACTGTAAACAGAGGAGTAACACAGTTGCCATCTCTTTTCAGCCAGGCTGTGTGAACACCACAGAAATGGACATTAGAAAGTGTCGTCGTATGAAAAACCCACAGAAGGTGAAAAAGGTCAGTTTGAATTTATGGTTTTAGTTTTTGTTTGATTGGTTTGGTTTTTTTGTTTGGTTTTTTCGTTGTTTGATTATTTTTTTAATGCAACTCACGCTTGACTTGACACCTACAGTATATCAGCCTTGCCCAATACAAACCAAAAAAAAAAGTTTTTCAAATATCAGTTCCAGTTTGTTCCAATTGATGAATTTGCTTTTCCCATTTTACTAGCAGAGCAGTACTTGGATGATGGGTAGAGCTGAGAAGGGCATCAAGGAGTTCTGTATCCCATATGTCTGCTGGCTCTGCACTCCCATAAAATTAAAAGCAATTGGCAAAAGTTCCTAGGTCCCGTATTCAGAAATTATTTGGGCACGAATTTTTCAGAGCTCTTTACCCACCTTAATAATTTCAAAGGCTGCAACTTGGGTGTCTTTGGCTTCCAGCAAGTTTTAGGTCTTCTGTGCATATAGAATCATAAAATAACTTAGATTGGAAAAGACCCTTAAGATCATGGAGTCCAACCATGAATCTAACACTGCCAAGGCCACCACTAAACCATGTAGCTAATGGCCACATCTACAAGTCTTTTAAATACCTTCAAGGATGGTGACTCAACCACTTCCCTGGGCAGCCTGTTCCAATGCTTGGTAACCCTTTCAGTGCAGGTATTTTTCATAATATCCAGTCTAACCCTCCCCCAGCGCAACTTGAGGCTGTTTCCTCTCATCCTATGACTTGTTACCTCTTTTGGAGGGGACACCAGACTCGTGAACTTCCATTGGTAGTTAAATTGCAGCAGAGCTATTCACATGTCTCTTAACAAATTTTAAGTTACAAGCAAAAGCACTAAATGAAAAAGTAAATGATATTACTTTCTGTGCAGGTCTCTGTCCTGGAAAAAAAAAAAAAAAGAAAAAGACTACAAGACAATCTGTAGGTTTTTGTTTAGAGAGGTTCACATGAACTTGACCCATTGACACCTGATTAAGCACTTTCTTCAATGTGTATTTTTACAAGAAATTAAACCAAGTAAAAGAAAATGGCGTAGGATTAGCTTCTAGTCTTTTCTTTCTCCCCTTGGTTAACCACAATGACCACTCCCAGGGTTGATCCTGCAAGCGTTGACACACACAACCTTCAGAGCTCCTGAGAATTATCCGCTGCATTTTAACATTTAAAATAAACTCTTTCAGATCTTTCAAGTGCAGGCACCTCCAAGCACAGTCTGATCTGTAGATTTTGCTCCAGGCTGAATGAAATTGACCTGTGTGGATATAAACAGTAGGAAATTGCTGGCTTATTACCTTACTGCTTTGCATATTGCACTTTTACTCATTGCGTAACACAGAAAAATGCCATAATCTCTTCTGTTTGTTTATTGCTTCCGCACAGTCAGTATATGGGGTTACAGAGGAGTCTCAGCCCCAAAGCCCTGTACACATGCCCTCCCAACCTGTACGCAAAACTACAAAAGAGGATTTCCGGAAACAGGTAAGGAGATGGCTGTATGGCAGCTCTTCTGAGAACTATTATCTGCACCCCCCCAAAAAAAAAAAAAAAAAAAAAAAGCAAAGTTATTGAGGTATCAGCAAAACCAACTGTATGCTTTTCTTGTCCTTGATCCTCACATACTTTAGCTAAAGTAGTAAGTATTTAAAGCGATAGATATATTCACTGAGCGGTGCAGTTGTATGATGATATGTATTATCAGTGATTCTGACCGTTGAATCTAGTATTATTCTGTCTGTGGACCAGGAGAGAGTTTAATTTCCCGTTCATTGAGCATGTCTGAAAAGTGGGCAGGGAAAGAAGCCAGCATATTGGGGCACAGACTGGAGACGGGCAGTGAGGAAAGGCATCTTTTGGTGCATGACTGTTAGACGGTACAGTCAGAGCTTTTAGCGAATTAGGAGAAAGCTGTTTTCACAGTCACTCCAACGAGTGGCCAGCCAACTTGCACGTCCTTGCCCTGGTACAGGGAGCTCTCCCTCAAAGTTACTTTCCTGCAGCAGGCAGCATTCACTAAAGTACAGGCAGGAATCACTAGGTCAGAATTTTAGTAAAGGCAGCTTTAAACACATTCCTTAGGCAGCCAGTTTTAGGGTGGTCTTCTGAACTAAACCTGAATACTAAATTTCTTGAGCTTTTTCAATCACAGGCAACATAGGCTGCAGAGTACTGTGAAGAGCTAGTTCATAGCAGGGTACAAATGTGCTGTAAAACTGTTATTGGTCTGGTGACACCAGTCAGGGAAATGGAGGAGTGTGGTGTAAAAAGGGGATCACATTGCACCCTGAGTAGTCTAGGAGCCTCGGCCCCAAATATGTGCCCTTCCTACTTTTAATTATGTCTTCTGTGAAGCTTCCCCTGGGTCTTTGCATAGGAAATTGAGACCCCTGTTGGAAGCAGTTAATAAGCTGCTTCTAATACCTAGGGAAGGGTCCCATTTCCTTCCGAGTTACTTTCAAGCTGTTTGGAAAGAGAGATCAATAGCATGTTGGGATATGATCAGGCATGCTGTAGGGCTCCTGGATTGTTAATGTCCTTGTTGTCTCTCTCCTCAGATAACTTTCCTGAACATGCAAATAGAGAGACATTGTTTAAAGATGTCCAAAGTAGCAGAAAGGTGAGTGTCCCCGTTTGCATGATTTCCCATTCTTTCCTCGTCTCCAGTTCGGCACTTCCAGAAGCAGAGAGTAGGCAGGAACACGCAAAGGCGGGTCCCCTTTCTGTGCATCAGTCCTTCCCCTCTTCTGGACTGGCCGCACTGCCTTTTTCTCTTGACTACTGACACTTCTGTGCTCACTCTTCTACCACTAAGAAAAAATAGGTGAAAAAGGAGGATGCTGTTGTACTGTAAAAGGAAAAGAAATATAATTCACAAAAGAAAGAACCCTTGTATTACTTCATTTCTTACCACTTCACAACCCTAGAGTTCAGAAAAGTCATTCCTGTTTTAACTTGAAAATACCCTTTTTTCTTTTGTGGGTGAACTCTCAGTGCTCATCTCTTGTTAGTCTGGAACAGCTCTGGTGAAGGAGCTGTGTTTGCTTCTTGTTGCATGTGGTGTTCATGTCCATGTTCACGCTGGGGTAGTAGAGCCAGTTTCTGTTCCCATTTATGTATATATGAAACCCTGTGGAAAGTACTGGGGTTGTACGTGGACTACTCAAGGCAGTGTTTTAAGAGGTGGATTTCTCATAGAGGCACATCAAGACACAATTTGACTTGCTGAATATTTAGTTCTGGTAGGAAAATATGAAGAGGTAAAGAACATGCTCAAATTTAATTAGGAATGACAGCTACTTAGGTACTTTTAAGTTATGCATATTTGCAGGGGAATCGCTGAGACAAATGTGGGGATTGGCATGCTCTTCAATAATGTCACTTTTAGAGCAAAACTGTTGAACATGAGGGAAATGATAAGGGCTGGTGCCTTGTAGAGAAATAATAGAGGAATTTTTATTTAAGAAAATTAAAAAGAGATTACCCTATGAAATATGCTTTGTAGTGCCTGCACCTGTAATTAGCATGTGTGTACTAAACTAGGCAAATTAAAGGGTGAGAGCCCCAAAGTAAGTTCCTATTGTCTCATAATGTTTAACAATTAAAATTAAAATCTATCCAATTAAATAGAAAGTATTCAGAGGCTTCCTGAAATCCTGCTTATGCTATATTTTATGATTGAAATTAGCACATTCATAGTTATGTTTTGGGCTTTCTCATTCTTTTTTATTAATAAGATACATTTGTGCTTTCCCAAAAAATGTCATTTTATACTGAATTTACTTACGATGACCTTAATATACTGAGACAGTAATAATTTCCAGGCTGGTAATTTACAAGCAAGCAGATCTGTTTTGCTTGAATTTTTTCTAGGTAGGTATTTATTCAATAAGATGGACCTAGTAAAACTCATTCACTTGTGAACATCGAATTCTGTCCACACAACACCCCTGTTGTTCAAGTTCATAAGGAGCTACTGACATGAGTGTAACATTGTCAATGCCAAAAAACCCTATTAGTTTTCAGTAAAACTGGAAAGAAAAATTTCCTGGTTTGAAAGGTCTTTAGGCTTTTTTTTAATTGGTCACAAATTGGAGAAGAAAATGTTGCTATCAAAACCTGTGCAAATGGATAACCAGGAGAAAAGTGGATAAAATGACAACCATCAAAAAGTTATTTTCTCCTTTTTTGAAAGTTTCGCTTTTGAAATTATAAAGAATGACAATCATGCTTGTGATATTTATGTCTTGCAAAGAAGCGTTTGGTTATGTGATGACTTTGGGTGGCAGCATTGCTGGAGGGTCCCAGGGCTTGGTGCGGAGAGCGGTGGGAAGGAGCGTTGCAGAGCCGGTGGGAGGGACGTGGAGTGGCTGATGAGTCCAGTGGCCTGGCAGGGATGTGGATAGGTGAGGAGGAATTAATGTGGATGGCCTGAGATGAACAATTGCCTGAAATAAAAACCTGTGCAGCCCGAAAGCCCAGTGTAAAATGCTGAATACAGACACCAGGAACAAATCTGCTGCGTAAGGAGGTGCCATTATTATCAAGTCACTTCCCAGGCTTGGCCCCGCTTTTGGGACTTGTTTAAGTGACAGTGTGGCAGAGCGGTGTTCAGGAGGTGACTTCTTGGCACGCTCCTTTCAACAGCCAAGCCTGACGGTGGCATCACCTACCATTTTTTCACTACAGCACAAAGGCACTTTCAGGCAGGATGAGGGGAGTAACAAGGAGCAAATAAGATAGGGGAAGGTGGGGGAAACAAGCTGCTGTCTAACCTGTTATACGAATAAGGTATAAATTACTTTAATAGTCATTCACATACATTTTCAATTAATGTATGCTGTTCTATGGGATAGCCCTTACCCAGCAGAAGAGGAATGGAAGGGCTCTCAAAGGATTATCCCCAGGTCCCATGAGATAAATACCTGCTACTTAAAGATTTTCTTCCCTCTCCTTCCTGTTCCCCTTCCAGTAGATCTGCACCGACTGTGGGAGCAGGCATCCCTCAGCTTCTCCAGGCACTTTGGAAACAGTTTTCTTCTCCTTTTTTCCACATTCTTTCTCTCCTCTTGGGGACCTGCACACTGTCAGGTGTAGGATTTAGCAATGAGATTTGAGAACTGTTGAGCAAAACCATCAAAATATTCTACCTACTGTTTTCCCTGACTGCATTGTGCGGTGTTAAGTACAATCCCACTATGTTGCATCACAGAAATGGTTGGGGAAAACCAGAGCATCTTTCTACCAGAAACAATCTCAGCTCCCTAGATGAAAATCTGTGCTATCCTCCCAGCTTGTCAAAGTTTTTGCAAAGGCTCAGCAGGACCCCCTGACTGTGAGACAGTTGGGCTCTCAAGGCAAGCTCTGCACCTTCAGTCAACTCTTCCCACTCTCTCTTCTACCAGAATTACAACACATCACATGAAGGGCCAAAGTCCAGGTTAGCATTTTGGCAGACCTGCTTTCCCTTAGGAGTCCCCCGCCTGTAGCCTCCTTTAGACAATGAAGCAGTGATTCCACTGCTGGCATTATACTGAATCAGAGAAATGTGCTTAGCATTTCCCCCTTGTTTCATTTAATTTAGTTTTTTTCCCCTTTTATTTTTGCTAGTACTTGTACTAGCACCTCTGATGCCTTCTTATTATTTTATTAGGAGCAATTCAAATTTCATAGCAGATATCTCCTGATTGATCCTTTTTGTTGGGTTTTTTTTTTAACCAACCCTCTTTCTCATTGATGTCTCGGGGATTGCTGCTGCTCTCTGAAATTGGACGCTGCTCCCTCCTCCAACCCTTGACCCTCAGCAGTCATGAAACGTAATTAATGGAATGAGATGAGACAGCCCTGAGTGCCCTGAGGGGCAATGGGAACCTGCTGTGGTTACAAAAGTGTATGATTTTAATGCCTCATGATAAGAGCTAGGACAAACAAAAAGAAATAATTACTGTAGAGCAGGTCAGGGAAACTTTCTGCCTTTTGTGACCCTTTGTTTCACAGGGTCTCTTCATTCTCCTGCCTTTTTGAGATGTGGAAGACCAGAGGTAAAGTTTAGCATGGACAATCACAGTGCAAGCAGATTAGTTGTTCAGTATGATGAGACTCAATTAACTTAGTTAATTACTTGGCAGACCTAGGCAAAAAAATTAAAGAGTTCCTTAGAGTATAGACTAGGATACATTTCTTTTGATTTGTTTCATATCTGCTGGCTGTCTTTTGTGAAAATGCGCCCCTAGCCCCAACCTCAGTGGAATTTCTGAATCACGCAAGCAGACACATCCTTTTCCCAGGAAGCTCTTTGAATCTCATCCTAGTGAGGATTAGAGGCTGTATGTCTTATCTGAGTCATCATGAAGCAAGCCAATATAAAGGCCAGGTGTTTTTCCAACATGCATGTAATTTACTACATTCTCAGTTAATTATTCTAAACTATTGTTGAAGTATTTTACAATAGTGCCATTAGACTAAATGACATACCAGTGTAACAAAAACATGATCTATAGCTCAAGCTTGGATGCTCAGGACTCAGATCCTCCAAAGATTTGATTATATCCTTAGCTACAGCACATGTTATTTACATGAGTTACTCGTAATGCACAAAGTGGGTGCAAAGGTCTGCAAAAACCAAAAAGGCAAGCGGCGATAGCAACATGCAACAAATGAACAGGAGAACATGTGCTTCATAGTTATCCCATGGCTCTTGGGGGGAAGTCCTACCATAGCAATCCAGTTGTTGCCTCATTGGGCTTTTTGTGGGCGTCTCAACAGAGACAAACTTTAGGGAAATTCTGGAGTGAGCTGGTAGGTGTTTGCAGAGAAATTCTTGAGTGCACCATCCCTGGGAAAAGGGACTCCTGTGTTTGCTGAGAAACTGACTAATTCCTACAAAAAAGAATCATGCAAAAAAAACCCCCAAAACCCCAACCAACCAAAAAAAAAAAAAAAGAAAAAAAGAAAAGCTCTACCTTTCTGACATGACTGTGCATTCAGGCCCTGATTTTTTTTTTTTCTTTCTTCTTCTTTTTTCTTTTTTATATCTGTCAGTTTAATAGCCTACACAGAGCAATATGTGGAATATGACCCCTTTATACCTCCTGCTGAACCTTCCAATCCCTGGATAAGTGATGATGCAGCGTTGTGGGACATCGAAATGAGGTAAGAATAAGTTTTAAGTTATGCTGGAGTTGTCTTGCCATTTTGTTTGTATGCTCTTCCCACTGCCCTGTGTGGATAGAAGGTTGGATGTCTGCAACGTACAAGTACACAGCTAAAGTTTAAACAGGAGTTTATGCTTTATCACTTCTTCTGTGGATTATTCAGCCCTTACACTTCCATATGACTTGAGTTGTGGTACTCTGTAGGTCAGGTAAGAGATGTTCTCATGCCTGTCAAAGACATGCACAGACGGAGGTCTAAGAGTCCACAGATATTGGATCCTATGAAGAGATACTTGTTCCAGCACATCTCCTTTGACCTTCGAGAGCCCAGCCCTACTTCTGTCCTGGGATCCCATGAAAGATGCCACCAGCAGAACAGGATGGGTTGTAGGGCAGTGGCTGTTCCCACTCTGTGGAGGTGGGTTTGGCACAGGAGGCAGAGGAGCGTAGCTCACACACAATGTGTGAGACTTGGCAGGTCAGAGTTATAATAGATTGACAAAGTGAGTTTGGGCCTCACCTGTTAATGGACAAGCTGGCTTGTCTCTGGTGTGGTGTCTGATGGATGAAGAGGAGGAGGAATGACTGTAGGACCTCCAATGCCTTGAACCTCAGAGAGTTTCTCCAAAAAAAAAAACCAAACCCAAGCACAGCACTGCAATTGAAATCGTCTTTCGCCCATGGGATGCTGGTGCAAGGGAAGTCTCCAGTATCTACATCTCTTGCCATCACAGGCTATCCACAGCCCTTGTAGTGGGGCTGGAGTTGTCCTGCCTGCCTCTGTGCCTGGCAGCTATTACAGCAGGTTTGAATGAAATCACCATGCCCCGTTATCACCTTTGCTACTCACTCGAGTCTTGTGACTATCTACTGCAAGTGCTCAGCAGCTTCTCCTAGTGTTTAGCTGCTGCTGTTCACCACCAAATCTGAACTGGGGGTTCACTTCAGCAAATCTTTGAAAAGAGAATGCCAAATCTAATCCTGTCTCTCCTTGACTAATAATGTAAATTTTAAGATGCTACCAGCCTAAGAAATCCAATTCATAGTGAATCAGTGTTCCAGGAAAAGGGCAAGTTATCTCCCTGTTTAAAACCCATGTGGTCTGGGGTGTGAAAAGATTTTTCACTTGCTTCTCTGGTAGTCACAGAAATCTGTTAGTTCGCTAATCTCTGTGCTTCTTTGCATAATTTCAGTATTTTGGATTTCTTTTTTAGTCAGTTTCTCTCATTTTCTCCATCCTTCCTAGCAGGGCTAGAACCAGATACAGCCCCTCAAAATACTTATCTGGAGGAACCCCCACCCACAAGGTAATGCAGGCATCTGTTATTTCTGCATCTGTTGAGGTAGCTGTAAATCCCAGAAAAGATGTCTGTGTCCCTGAAGAATACAATTAACCTGATGTCACGGCCTTTGTAGAAATTTAAAATAAATGCCTGGCTTCTGCTATGATTTCAGAGTTCAGGAAGGTGATTCTCCTGTGGATGGAAAAGCAAAAGTTGCATTGTTGGGAGATGGAAGAACAAACAGCTCTGTATCTCCATTTTATTCTCTCTTGTGAGAGACCTCGCTGTATCTGCATGTAGTTGCAACTTGCATGAATAATTAAGTGATCCCAAAGAGCTGCGGTAGCCCTTGTGTTGCCTGCAAAGCTGCTTCCTCGGTTAGGCGAGCAGAGCCCTCACTCAGGAAAACAAAGAGCCTCTCACTTCTAATGGTAAGGCTGGCTGCTGAGCCTGGACAGCCCTGTGCCGCTGCAGTTCATCCTTCATGGCACTCAGGACTTGGGAAACACTATGGAAAGCCTTCAGTTTTTAGACAGCACTTTGGCCTTTTTGTTCCTGCTAGAGCACTGTGCAGCTGCACGAAGAGCAGCTACAGATCTCTGGATTCAATGGGAAATTCCCCAAGCTTAGCTCAGGCGTAGCTCTACGCAGACATGGATTTCATGTCCCCACATTGGGGCTGGCTCACTTAACTGGTAGGCTGGCACCTGCCCCCCGTCCACAGCACTGCTGGCTCCCTCGTGAGCACAGGAGGAGCCATCCCGAGCGCTCTGCACTGGGAGTGAGGACATGCCCATCAATTTTGCTTAGTCTGTACACCAAGAGGAAATCAAAGCGGGCATTTTATTTACCCCTTTGGCTTATTTGTCTTCAGCACAGATCGCCACTGTCCCCTAAGGCTCCAGGATTAGGAATCGCTGTGGACATGAGGAGATGTGTAGTTTAATAGATATGTACTGTTAACAATGGCTCTGCTGTCACAAGTGTGAGCAGCTGAGATGTGTTTTAATGGTTGTCTCATAGTGTGACGCCATCACACCAGAAGCTTTCAAACACTTTGTGAGCCCAGATTATGCTCTGGTGTGGACTGTCTCGTAGGATCCTCATTGTGATTCCCAGGCGCTGCCTCTCCCCATAGGCATCTCTGCGACATGTCTGGCAGTTCAAACAACAGCTTATGTAAGTGGGATTGTATGAAGAAATAATTTAGGAGAAAGGTTGTTGGTGATTTTGGGTGCCTCTGCATCTCAGTGTCCCAGCTGAGACACAAAATAAGAGTCTGATTATCATGGAGGGGAGCAGGAAAATGCTTTTTAGTCTTCCAAGACTCAGGCATCCAAAAAACAGAGGCACTGAAAAATGAAAGACCACAAACCAGTAACCATATTTAGAAATTTTGTCTGCACTGCTTCTTAGTGAAACTGCTTTTTTAATGCAAATGTGGACCTGAAAATCTGAAGCCTGTTCCAAGTGACCAGCCAGCACTGTGTGGGACACAAGGAGATGCTCTGGAGCTCGCCAGCAGCCCAGGGAACTCTGATGGCAAATTTCTGTCTTGACATATAAGAAATTCCCAAGGTACATTTGAGGAGATATATAAGAAGTGCATAATGAATAATCATTCAAGTATGGTATGCTGTCCTTTACATGAAACCTGTCAGAAATTACTCTGAAAAATCATATCATTTGCTGTCTCTCATTTTGCTGTGTACGTAGCACCCAGATAGTACAGTTGTTTCAATGATGACCCTGGTCTTTATAGCTTCTTTTTTGTGTGTTATTTACTAACTTGTATTTCTGCAAAATCTTGAGGGGAAAAAAAAATCTCATCTGATAATCTTCCTCCCTTTGCTGCTTAGCAGAAACAGCAGCAGCTGCTCGGACAGCAGGCAGAAATGCACATTCCATCTGTTTTTTCCCTTCTCTCTCCAAATAGCAAAGAACCTAGTCAACAGCGTGTGAAAAGGTGGGGCTTCTCCATGGATGAAGTGCTGAAGGACCCAGTAGGACGAGACCAGTTCCTTCGTTTTCTGGAATCAGAATTCAGTTCAGAAAACCTCAGGTGAAATCTTTTTTGACTTGAACTAATGAATGGGGCTAATCCTACTCTCTTGCATAGGTGAAATGCAATGCTTAGTCTGTTTTGAACTGCTAAAAACACCCATTTGAATCAAGTTGAGAATGGCAGGATTTGGCCCATAGCACTGGTATAGGTCCCTAAAGTAGAACTATGTAAGTAATCTCAGGAACATTGTTCAGAAGAGCCAGTGTTGTCAAGTATGATATGCAAAGGCTTGCGAAGTTGTAATAACGTGATGAGACACGACATATAGCTATTGAGCTCCCTAACAATATATAGGATTTACGTGTGTATTTGTGGCAGGGGTCGTGTGAGGGAAACATAATATGGTGATAGAATCATAAATCATTTAAGTTGGAAAAGACCCTAAAGGTCATCGAGTCCAGCCATGATCATATGGTTAAAGTCTGTTGCAGTGCTGGTACTCACCAAATCAGGTTTGCAACAGCTACTTTTGATTCTGGTACCTCACCTTAATAGCACTAGCTTTGTGGGGGGATTCTGAGTACCTGGCTTATCACATTATGAAACATTATGTAGACACCTACATGATCCTGTGTCAGATTTAGAGTCTATAAATCCATTGTGCACAATTCTGCTACTTCAATTTTGCAGTAATAAGTTGCCATTTTTTAGTGAACCCAACACTAGATGACGACAAAACCTTTTCTAGAAGATCCAGCCCCTCCAGCCTTGTCTGTAACACAGACCTAAATCCAATCTCTGGCCTTTGCACATTGCTCTAAAACACAGTCCCATTGCAGAATTGACGAAAAGACTTCGGAAGTGCTAGCAGCATGCTTCGTTCTGGTGTAGGAATCCTTCAAAGAGTATGCCTGTCTCTTCACCCTGTAAAACTGGGTGCTGAACTCGGATCTAACCAGTGCCTTAGGATTCATTAGTCTATATACCCCAGAACTACTGTATTAAGCCATTTTCCCTTATTGATGGCAGGTATCTTCCCACAGTGACAGAAAAAGAGAGGTCGAGCTAGATATGCCCCATAGACCCTAAGCTAAACCCACACCCTGCCTACATAGCAAGGATCTGAGTCCCCTGCTTGTCCTAGCGTTAATCAGGACATAGCCACAGGTTTTATCATCATTGTCTTGAATCTTAACTCTAATTCCAACCCTAACCCTGAAGTTCATTTTAGGGAAAGCAGCTCTCCTGCTGTGGAGAGGGTGAGGTCTGTGGAAGAGCTCTTTTGGTGTTGTATCCTGCAGATGCAACCAAACCACAACAGGTCCCATAACAACAGAAGCAAATATACTACAATGAGCTCTGAGAAACTGGGGTTCCCAGGATTATGCTTGAAAGAGGGCTGGGGCAAACATTGGGATTAGTGTTCAGGATTGCAGGCATTTAAAAGCTAGCTTCATTGCTTGGTGCTGCAAAGTCTGAATTAAAAGGGAGCTCGTGCCAGCTGGAGAGGCAGCCTGAACAGGTAGAGGTTGATAAGCAGTGGGTGAGGTTATGATTCTTGCCTGCATGTGCCAAACAGCCAAATTTACTGCTACATTCATCCATTTGTGCAGAAGCAGGAAGGCGGTGGTTAGCAGCAGGGCAGATGACTTGGGGTTGGCTAGCCGGACAGGCTGCAGCCACTGGCCTGTGCTGAAGGCAAGGGTCTTAGTCGGTGTCAGGGTGCCAGGCTGTGCTCTTGTGCGTGGGATCCTTAACCTCGCTCCTTAAACAAAGTACAGCAGGTCAGAGGCACTTCATGGATACCTGCAATGATCCTCACCTCCTTCCCCTGGTTAGTCGTGGAGACACAGAAGGATCAGCAGTAATGTGACTGCCCTAGATGTTTGTGGTATCCAGTAAAAACCACTTTTTTACAGTCTGGATTACACTGCAGAGGCTTCATTGTGGTGCTCGGGTGCCATCTCAGCACATGGATGGGTGTGGAGACCAGCTCACGAGCTTCCTCTGGGGGCAGTCCTGTTCCAGTAGGCCCAGTGGTGGTTGGCAGAGATGGCCAGAGAGCTCTCAGTTCTCTGCGAACCATGCCTGCTCCAGGGACAAGGAAATCTGCTATCAACTGAACGTGCAGTTAGTCGGGTTTTGTGCCTTTGCTGGTAGTGAGCAAGTTTGATGTTGTTCTCAGTTTACACCAGCTAAGAACTTGATTGCACAGCATTTAAGTTTGTGTTTTGTTGGGATTTTTTTTCACTTAGAAAATGAACTACATCACTAAAGCACGTGAACAATTGCTACTTCGGTGCAGTCTGCTAGCCTGTGAGATCTGAAAGGGAAATTCCCCAGACAGTGTCTTTAAATGACATTGGAACTGACCATCGTATTTATCATATTTTCCGGTCTGAGGAGAAATACAGAAAGCATGCCAGCAGCGAAACGGCGAAAAGGCAATGCACCGTGTTTGTAATTTTTTAAAATAACCTGAAAGTTACTTGTAAAATAAACAAGGGAGTGGTACTAAATCACGCAAATGAGCTTGATGGTTTATCACTGAACAGGTACTGAACTTGTACATGCTTACTGCATTTATGTACAGTGGCGCTAATTTGCAATTACATTGTAGTGATGAAGTGCAAAATTAATATACTATATTGAAATACCCATCAAATGTTTCTTTCTGAAATGTATGTGGGGTTGCACTAATGAAATCCAGCAGGTTTTAGGACTAGAGGGTGTCCCCCCACGTTCATGAAGCAAACTGGAACGGGATGGATTGTTAGCAATGGTGCTAGAGAGCAGAAGGTGGCTCTCGGGTTCAGGTATGGCAGAGAAAGCTCCTGAATTCTCATTAGGAGAGCGTGGCACAAGGGAAGAGCAGGAAAGGCAGTCAGTTGGGTATTTGAGGGGGCTCAGCCTGCGGACCGGCCCC